TGCTCAGAAACACTACAGTTTAGAAGCATATACCTATAAAGATTGAACATTAAAATGTGTCTTACCTAACAACTTATAAAGATACACAACATATCCCTCCAAACTTCTAATATCCCGAACCCCTCCTTTAGAGTGCAGGCATTGTACTTCCCATTTCCAGGATTCAAGTCCGGCTATATAAAAATAACCGGTTTCCCTGAATCCCTTCACTAAATACTACCCTGCTCACACTCCAACAGATCGTCAGGTCCCAAATACCATTCGTCTCCATTCACTCCTAACACGCTCGCGCATGCTTGCTGGAAGTCCAAGCCCCTCGCCCACAAAACCTCCTTTATCCCCTCCAACCTTTTCGAGGACGACCCCTACTCCGCCTTCCTTCCCCTACAGATTTATACGCTCTCCATGTCTTTCTACTTTGATCCATTCTCTCTAAATGACCAAGCCACCTCAACAACCCCTCTTCAGCCCTCTGACTAATACTTTTATTAACTCCACACCTCCTAATTTCCACACTCCGAATTTTCTGCATAATATTTACACCACACATTGCCCTTAGACAGGACATCTCCACTGCCTCCAACCGCCTCCTCGCTGCTGCATTCGCAACCCAAGCTTCACACCCATATAAAAGTGTTGGTACTACTATACTTTCATACATTCCCTTCTTTGCCTCCATAGATAATGTTTTTTGTATAATTATAATTTTTGTATAATTATATCATTTGTATTTTTTTTCCTGAACCCAAACTGACAGAGGTTAAGTATGTTGTGAGATTTTAGGTAGGAGTAAACGTGCTTATGTATTTTTTTTTATTTTTTAAAAGATTTTAGATAGTAAAGGCAAATTTGATATAGGCCTATAGTTATTCACGCCAGTTGGATCACCATCTTTGCGGAATGGGGTAACCCTTGCTATCTTGAGTATGGATGAACTTCTTTGTACATGAGTGGTGGTAAATTATTTAGATTTACTGTCTTTGTTTTATAGTAACTTTATGATCAGCAAGACTTCAGTAGGATTAGTTAGAGCTTTATATAGAGTACTTGGGTAATTTCCAGTAAGGCAGTCTTTTGCCAAGTATTTGAGGTTGGGATTTTGCTTGCTAGTTTCGATCCTACAGTAAAGAGGAAGGCATTAAGTTCGCAGTGTCTACAGGGTAGATGTGTGGTTCATCTGATTTAGTTAAGCTTATATCTCTGTTTCTGGACAGTTTTCAAGAGACCAGGATTTCAGAGAGGGTTTCCCAGGTCTTTTTCATTGTTTAGACTTCTGTATTAGATTAGAAAGTATTGATGTACAGTGGACCCCTGGTTAACGATATTTTTTCATTCCAGAAGTATGTTCAGGTGCCAGTACTGACCGAATTTGTTCCCATAAGGAATATTGTGAAGTAGATTAGTCCATTTCAGACCCCTAAACATACACGTACAAACGCACTTACATAAATACACTTACATAATTGGTCGCATTGGGAGGTGATCGTTAAGCGGGGGTCCACTGTATATCGATAGTCTGTTCTTTAAGCCCTGTCTGAACTGTTTTTGATGTGTCGGCGGATGGATTTATGAAGGATGAGGTTAATCATAGAATTGATGAGGGAAAAAAGGTGAGTGGTGCGTTGAGGTATATGTATGTGGAGACAAAAAAAAACGTTATCTATGGAGGCAAAGAAGGGAATGTATGAAAGTTAAGTAGTACCAACATACTTATATGGGTGTGAAGCTTTGGTTGTGAATGGAGCAGCGAGGAGGGGGTTGGAGGCAGTGGAGATGTCCTGTCTGAGGGCAATGTGTGTAAGTAAGTAAGTAAGTTTATTCAGGTATACACAAATACAGTTACATAGAATTATCATACATAGCAGCATATGTGTAGAGAACCTAGGATAACCCAAAAAAGTCAGACAGAGTGACTTATTTCCATTGGGGTCCTTTTACCTTATTATTATAGTATAAAGGTTATAATATTTTCTTATTATTCTACAATGAAGATAACATCTTATTATCATACTAAAAAGACTATCTGCTACACCAAGGTCATTAAGACTATCTACAATACGAGGGTCATTACAAGGAATAAGGTAAAATTTACACGTATGTTAGCTAAAAAATAGAAAATCATTCCCCTCCCTTTCTGTAGCTACATTCATCAGACCACCTTTTGGCACTCTTCTTGAACTGGTTCATGCTATGACTGGCTTTGACATGTGCAGGCAGTCTGTTCCATTCCTTTATTGCTGTACAATAAAAAGGTGTTTGAAGCCTGGCCACTGACTGTGGGTACTACAAAGTTGTGCTCTCTCCCCCTAGAAACTATGATTGCTTTGGTTCCCAACCTTGACAAAATTGACAGCAAGATATTCTGGACATTGTTTGTGAGCAATTTTATAAACATGATTTAGCTTCAGTTGTTTTACTCTGTCTTCAACATTCAGCATATCCAACTGCTGTAATTCTTCCTGGCCTACATGTTTCTTGGTCCCAGCCCCAGGATGAAATCTTACGATTTTGTTCTGGGTGATTTGCAGTCTATCTTTCAGTTTTTTTGTCAAGGCAGAGTACCAAGAAGAGCAAGCGTAATCCATATGGCATTGTATAAGGGCTAGACATAGGGTCCTGCGAGCCTCAGTAGGTAGACACTGTGCTTGTCTATACAGGAACTTCAGTTTGGCATTCGCTTTCTTTACTACACTGTTCCCTATCAATTCTCCTGACATGCATGGGTCAAAGGGGATTCCCAAATATTTTACTGATGAAACCAAAGTGATGGGCTCCCCATTACATTGAACATTAAAATTATTTACCCTTCTCAGTTTATGTTTCGTGCCAAAGAGAATGGCTTCAGTTTTCCCTAGGTGTAATGATAGTTTGTTGTCTACTAACCATGGTGTGTGGTGTAAATGTTATGCAGAAAATTTGGAGTGTGGAAATTAGAAGGTGTGGAGTTAATAAAAGTATTAGTCAGGGGTTTAGAGAGAATGGATCAAAGTAGAATGACATGGAGAGCATTTAAATCTGTAGGGGAAGGAAGGCGGGGTAGGGGGTCGTCCTCAAAAATGTTGGAAGGAAGATGTAAGGGAGGTTTTGTGGGCGAGGGGCTTGGACTTCCAGCAAGCGTGCATGAGCGTGTTCGATAGGAGTGAATGGAGACGAATGGTATTTGGGACCTGACGATCTGTTGGAGTGTGAGCAGGGTAATATTTAGTGAAGGGATTCAGAGAAACCGGTTATTTTTATATAGCCGGACTTGAGTCCTGGAAATGGGAAGTACAATGCCTGCACTCTAAAGGAGGGGTTTTGGGATATTAGCAGTTTGGAGGGATATGTTGTGTATCTTTATAGGTATATGCTTCTAACTGTTGTGTTCTGAGCACCTCTGCAAAAACAGTGATTATGTGTGAGTGAGGTGAAAGTGTTGAATGATGAAAGTATTTTCTTTTTGGGGATTTTCTTTGTTTTCGGGTCACCCTGCCATAGTGGCAGACGGCCGACTTGTTAAAAAAAAAAAATTTATCAATGGATTTGAGGATGTTATTTGTAAGCCATGGGCTGTTTAGTCTCTGCTGTAATCTGTTTATTTTTTTTTTTTTTTTTTTTTTTTTTTTTTTTTTAAGAAAAATTTGGACACATTCATCAATATTGTGGCTGTCAGCTCTGTACCAATCAATGTCAATGCTAAAACAGTTATTTACTGATGACTTGTCATGAAGTTGAAATGATATCTTACTAGTCTTGAGGCAATTTACACTGGTTGGTTATGAGGAAGGTGGGGTAGTGGTCTGTGATTATCCCTGCTTTTAGTGGAGATATAGTATTGGTCCAGATATGGTAAAGTAATGAGAGATTTGTCTCGGAGAGTCTTGTTCTCTTAGTTACATATGGTAATAGAAGTGGTTCATAGTTTATGAAGTCGGCTACTTGAGGGTCAGTTGCTTGGATGACATTTATGTTGAAAGTAGCCAGCAAGTATTGGATGGTGTTCATTCATCTCCGAGTCAATTATAATGTTTTTTAGGTTATCACTGAATGTGTAAGAATTTTTGTAAGGTAACCTGTACACTGTTCCAACTGTAATAGGGGTTTTTAGGTTTTTAACTTAGAATTTTGCAAATACATATTCACCATTTTTGTCCCTGGTGCAAATATATTTAATAGATTCTAAATCATCATAGTAGTAGATAGCAGTGCCACCTTCTAATTGATAAGTTTACAGTTATGCATGGCAACATCCTTTCACTGGATGAATTATTCTTCACAAAAGGGCACTAAGTAATCTCTCCTTCGTAGGCTACATATCACAGGAGGGTAAAAAAAAAAAAATTGTAATTCCTACTCAATTCTTCCAGATCAGTTTTGAACTCGAGATATGAACATAAAATAAGACTTCTACAATAAAATTTATGATAAGCTATTAGGTAAATACCAATATATGCTGCACAATGATATAGAGCGGGTGTAAGTCAACCACGGCTGAGTATAGGAGGCTTATTAGGGAGTGTTGTCCATCCAGGTAAGCGGCCTGGTTGAGAGAAGCTAGAGCAGGTCATGGAGAAGATGTGAACAGTTAAGGTTAACTGGTCAATGGGGCTGATCCAGGGAAGTGTGTGTTGAGCTGAGGTCAGCAAAGGGGTCATAATCCCAAGCCCATGGAAGGCGTGGCTTGGCAGGAAACTCGAAATCCTTCTGGGAGCATGCTTACGGAAGTGTTTATCCCTTGTGGCTTAGCACTTCTTTTTGATTATAATAATACAGAAGTGTTGAACCCGTGTAGGTTATTCACCACAAGAACTGGTAGAAATTCTGTTGGAAACTCTATCATCAGCTAGCTCCATTTTGTGACTTTCGATCAATCAGGCTGTTATTGACGGAATGAAAACCAGAAAATGGCAGCTACCTCCTTAAAGAGCCTTAAAAAAAATCCCAGAAGTTCTAGGGAGTTATTGTTGAGGGATACACATCACATAAAAAAAAATTAACTTTTGGTTGAATTATGTAAAGAATGAAAAATAATACAATTTATTTTGTATTAAAAAATGAAGAGAAATGCATGTGAAGTGTGGGTTGACAGTGAACAGCACACTATAACAATAAATTTGCACTTACAAAGACTAAAATACTAACGTTAAAAAATTCTGAGGAGTCCCCTCATGGGAGGTTTCTTGACGCTGGTGAGGGGCTCTTGATCTGCTCCAGTTCCCTGAATTAAGCATAAATACCTTCCATCCTCCCCCCCCCCCCAAGACGCTGTATAATCCTACGGGTTTAGAGCTTGTCCATGATTATAATTATAATTTTGAGGAGAGTAAGAATACCTATGACATTCATACTAAAGTGACAATGCAAAAGTGGGAGCTGTTATAACTAATTTTACTTAAATTCTTAATTACTATTTTAGGGATTAAAGTACTCTTGACAGTGCTTTAATGACTTGTGTAGTGGGTACCCCTTAAACCTAACATAGTCAATGCCAGTCCTTTGACTCAATGATGGCCTATAATCTGCTGACTATCCAAGAGAATGACTACTGGGTGCTTAGTAAATCTATCATTTCAGTAGGCCTAGCGGGGAGTGTGATGAGAGAATGTGGAGGTAAGGGAGTGTTGGATGAGGTGTGGGATAAATGTTTAGTGAGATGGGGGTACATTTCTCACAAGGTTCTGGCAACAGGCAGTAGTGGACCTCCACGAGCCTTCCACTCTAGGTAGGATCCAAAGTATACCCTGAAATGCAGAAAAGAACTCTCAAAACAGAACATACTCATAGTTTACCTGGAGCAACTCAACACCATTTTGCAAATGGACAAATGTCTACAATAACCGAGTTGCTCCACCGCTGAACGACGATTAATACCATTATAAATTATTTGTTTTTATATCTTAAGCTTAGATTATTATTAAAGATTTTTAAACTAAACCTGTGTGAAAATGATTATGATATTCTCAACTGATCAAAATAAAATACGGAATCATTGTCACCTCCCTCGTAAGGATGATCACACACTGTTTATAGGATATCTTACCTAGGGTCTTGTTTTTCTAAGAAATGAAAAGCACTTAAGACTACGTGGGTATCTAGTAAGAAGTTAGTGTTACCTAAACTACAACTAACTCACCTAATATTGCAGTAACCCAGCGGCTCCAGTTGTTTCCAAGCGACCGTGGCACGTCGACCTGAGCGACAGGTCAACACTACATTTGTGTCCTCAGGCAGTGGCTTCGGAAAACCATATTTCTTCATGAAGTCGTTTTCGCTCATGTGGATAGCTTGCTCTAGCTCTGGAACTATTGAAGTTTATCAGTATATACTGGTGAACTACGCCACAATGGCAAGAATGTGTGTGTATTTATATATTTCTACAACGTCTTGGCCCTTACAGACAAGAGGTACTTACGGGGCAGGTTGACACTCCAGGGCAGTCTACCTGTCTCCTCCAACTCCCACCTATTTCGTACATCAATCAGCAGTACATTGCCCACCTCCAGCGCCTCCCGCAGCTCTTCATAACTTATACCTGTGCCACAAGGACATTATTACCATAAACCAATTCAAATAATACAACATTAGGCACTTGGGTATTATGTTAAGATTATTTCTCCCACAAGGAATTTTAATATAATATTTGAACCGGACTTACTGGAGCCAGGCTATTAATAGAACATTACTGACAGAGAACATTTTACGTTGGCAGAGGATTAAAAATGATTTCCCTCTTATTATTTAGTAGAAATTATGATCCGTTGGAGCAAGAAATGGAGAACCCAAGGTGCTAAATTTAAGAACAATGGTAAACGGAAGAAGGATGGTAAAAGAAAAAAGGCACAATACCGTGACTGGAACAATACACAAATAACCCGCACATTGGAGAGAAGCTTACGACAACGTTTCGGTCCGACTTGGACCGAAACGTCGTCGTAAGCTGCTGGTTATTTGAAGAAGGTAAAACTTGCTCAACAAGGCAGTCACGGAGAAAAAGTAGCTGGTTCTTACAAGGCGTGGAAGTAAGAAGAGCAGATTTATAGTAGCAAAAGTAAGACTTAAATGAAAGGACAACGTCAAATAAATTGCAGATAATAAAGCGTTCATTTGGGAAGTCCACGAGGAATAAATATCACACGGTCGTGGCTGCAACAATTACTCAATGCTTTCCAGACGACGTTTCGGTCCCTTCTGAACCATTAACAAGTCACCAACAAGGGAGAAAAAGGAGAAAAATCAGGGTCCCTTCTGAACCATTAACAAGTCACCAACAAGGGAGAAAAAGGAGAAAAATCAGAAGACATGTAGGAAAATGGAAGAGGAAAGACAAGTCGAAACATTAGTGGTACTACCACTATTACTAGTAGTAGTAACATTATTATATTATTATTATTATTATTATTATTATTATTATTTATTATTAGTGGTGGTGGTGGTAATAGTAGTAATACATAATAACAGTATTACATAATAATAGTATTAAATACATAAAATAAATCACAACTCAAGGGAACAGAATTATCCAAAGAGCACACGTCCCACGAAGGGCACACAAAGCACGAGACAAACTAGCACCACAGTAGGCCTACTGACTTACTAGGTACGTTGGAGGAGGAAGCAGGTAAAGTAAAACAGACGAAAACAAAGGTGAGGAAAAACATATGACAGTAAAAAAAAATCCAAGGTGACCTTGGACTTGACCTGACCTTGGCAAGATCAGATCAAGTCACGGGCGTTTGGCAGTGGTCGAGGCTTGTCAAGCTGTAGGTCAGGTTTGAGTCCCACATGGCATGACTCCCAGTTCAGTATCTAAATACATGCAGATCAAGTGTTCGCTACTTGTAAAGACACAAGTTGCAATAAGCTTTGATCATGACGGAGTTTCGCTTTGTGTAGTGTTGCTTGATAAAGGTCTACAAAGAATCAAATGCTCCAGTAAAAGTTTGTTCTACAGCGTGTCTTATCGTCCTCATTGTCGGCAGTCCGTCATATAGACCCGGATTGTTCCTTACTTACCGATGGAAGGCCTGAGCTTGCTACCACCTGCAGCTCACAAGACTGCCATCCCCACGAGCCCCTTTGGGGCGGGGCAGATGGCAGACCAGAGGCCTAGCTTCTCCCTACGAGCCCCATGAGGGCGGGGAATGTGGCTAGGCCTGGGGACAGTTGGTCCCAAAGATGAGGGGGTACTTGTACCTTCTCCCATGGGAGACTTAAGTCTCGAGACACTCCCCAGATAGGGAGCCAAGGCCGGGTCACCACTACTTGGAAAAGACCCGGGCCGGGAGAATACCGGCGAATAAAAAAAAAAAAAAAACTTACCGATGGGATATTCAACGCCTGGTTGACGACACGAGTGACCAGTGGGATTTGTTGCAGCCAAAGTGAGTGTAGCATTGTCAGCAGTGGGCGTAGCAGAAGCTGTTTCCGGGGCTGCAGAGGCCTCAGTGGATTTAGTGAAAGCTTCACTAGAGGAAGCAGTGGGTGTGTTGATGGTTGTAATGGGCGTAGTAGTCTCTGCATTGGGTGTAGGGGTACTTGTAGTCGTAGATTTGGTTGTAGTGAGCGTACTGGAGTCTGTAGTGCTCGCATTAGCTGCAGCAGCGGGCACAGAGTCAGATGTAATGATAGCAGGTGCTGCTGGGGTGGTGACATTGGATGTTGCAGAAGTGTTAGTACTTGTGAGGACATCGTCGAAAGTAGTATCAGTGTCACTGAGCATGATGGTGGCGGAGTCACCAACAATTGTGGTGTTATCTTCATCTAGGATTGAGGTGTCACCGTCATCTTGGATTACAGTGTCAGTGTTATCCAGGATTGTGGTGTCAGCGTTATCTAGGACTGACGTGTCAGTATCATCGAGGATTGCTGTGCTGTGCGACATTTCTTCTAATTCCATGTCAGTAGCCACTGTGGTCATGACCAGCAGCAGCAACATACAAACACCTGGTTGACAAAAAATGGATTAATAGGTTAATTATCATATAAATGTATTAATAATGTTATTGTAAATTAATCGGCTAAATGCTTTTTGTTACTAAACTGAAGAGTAACTAAAGTAATGGAATTAACTATGAGATTGCTGTCTCATGTAGAGACAGTAATCTCATATTTAATTCAAATCATAAAAACAACAAGTCATTACAACAACAATCATACCACAGCAACAGCAACAACAACATTACTAATAAGAGGAATAAAATAAATAATAATACTAATAATCGGCATCCTAAACAAAGGGAAAGTCCAACAAACAAATATTAATATGTTATGCAACAACCGGTAATTAATTTGCTATTTTTTGAAAGCGTTGTAATAATGTCCGGAAATGCAAAAACTCGGCTGCAGTACATGCGTTGACAAGGTTACAAAACTGAGTGTATGGTGACGCACAATCACATCCGACAATTTTCCCCTCGTCCTGTTACACTGGTGGGGTTTTGAGGACTCTTTTTGTGTGGCCTTGTGGGATGTGTGACCTTGTGATGTGTTACTGTGGTACATCATGTGACCTTGTGGAGATATGTGTGTTACTGTGGCACACCATGTGCCCTTGTGGTGTGTTACTGTGGCGCATCATGTGCCCTTGTGGAGGTGTGTGTGATTGTGGTATATAATGGGACTTTGTGGAGATGTGTGTGATTGTGGTATATAATGGGACTTTGTGGAGATGTGTGTTATTGTGGTACATCATGTGCCCTTGTGGAGATGTGTGTTACTGTGGCACATCATGTGTCCTTGTGAAGGTGTGTGTGTTTGTGGTACATAATGGGACTTGTGGAGATGTGTGTTTCTGTGGAACATCATGGGACTTTGTGGTGTGTGTGTGTGATTTTAGAACATCATGGGACTTTGTGGAAGTGTGTGTGTGATTGTGGATCATGGGACCTTGTGGGACAATAATAATCATAATAATAATAATAATAATAATAATATAATAATAATCATCATAATAATAACCATAATAGTAATAATGATAATTTTTTTTTCCGCATGATACAATGTTTGTAGAGAATGATTGACATTTTAGGTATGCATGCAGAAAGTCCCTGGTTATGCAAAACATTTCGGGCAAACTTAAGCCTAGCTTTAGTTTAATATCTGTTATGCACCCCATACCCATCCTGTGGGTAGCTACTAGCATAATGTCTTGGCGTCTGATTGAACGCCTTTTTCGTTTTTCTTTTATTCTTGCAAAGGAAGATAATTGTTGTAAATCATCTTTGTGTTGACGCTGCTAGATGACTGTTGACGAAGTTCCAGAGAATGACTGGTGGATCAGTGGCAGCACCCTCTAGTCACAGTCAGAGGGCCCTCCTTCTAAGGGTAAGTGGAGAACTGGTCGTGTTTCCTCACATCTATTGTTTTTATTTACTTAGCACTAATCAGGTAACTGGGTGTTAGTCGCGTGCTGTAGGTGGCTTCCTGTGAAAGAGGATAAGATAAGATATGATAGGATCAGAGGATCCTATTGAAATAAGCTACACCAATCGGTTTTCTTGGATAATCTTGGGTTACTAACCCGCCGGGTTATAAATCCGAATAATATATTCATATTCTTTCTATTTTTTTAAGCATGCGTATGGGCTACTCTTCCCCTTCCCTGCAATCATCAGTGTCCATCTAGCATCAACAATCCACCTTAGACACTGCAGTATTTACTTGTAATGTTTACGGTGAAGATAAGACAAGGGTAATGTTTCAAGGCAGAATGGGTGACGAGAAGGAGTGCCGGTTGGGTAAGTTAGAATGTTGGGGGAGAGACTGATGGGGAGCGTGGGGTTGCTGGGAAGCTGGACGTGGTATTAGAAAGTCCTGGAGGTGGGCCGCTGAGCACAAGCAAGGTCGTCAGCGCTGGCACATCACCTTCACTACTCTGTCATAACCTGTGTATTTTATGCTCTTCTTTCATCTTATTACTTTAAAAGTCATTAGACATGTTTCCTCTGCTTATTTTGTTAGTGTTTACCAACTGAATTGTTAGTGCAACGCGTTGATGAATTATTTTATATTCGCGGAGAAGTGTTGAACTCCTAAAGGTAATCAGGTTTAATAATAAGAACAGGTTAGTTCCAGTTCCATTGATCAAGCACGGACACTTCACAGCCATCAAGGTAACCCACCTTGAAGGCGTCACGCCCATGGAACTTGAGGAAGAGCAGTTTATTTGTTACCACAGAAGCGACATCTCATACAACAAATGCAAAGCATCAGCAAGCTTGGTGCAAAATGAAATACCTAAATTTTAAAATATTTCGTTAGGTATAACTACCTTAAAAATTTCAACAACATGGCTACATTAATTAAATATAGCCCCTCATTCATTTGTCACCGACATCTTTCTTCGTTGTACAGAAATTGATGTTATCAGAGACTTACACAGACTGGTGCATTACTTTTTGCGCAGTACATGTAATATGAAATGCAGTTTTAAATCATGCATGTGCCTTGATTTATTTCCTACTTTGGATATTAATGTATTCTTGATATTAGTCTGTACGTTAATCTTGACTTAAATGACCCACGTGCAGGCGTAGTCCATGAATCTACTAGATAATGTATGGAACACTACGTACCTGGAGAAGCCATCGCTGATCTCCTGTAGTTGAGGATGCTGATGACACAATGAGCAGCTGGGAGAAATTGTGGTAGCGTTTGTTCTCTGAGGCTGCCAGATATTGTGAGTTAAATTATTGCCATAACTCTTCAAGGAGGATGCCTTGACGTTACCTGCTGAAGGTCTCTAAATTGAAGGAATCAGAGCTGATCTGGGCCCTCCCCTTCCTCTGATAAAACTTAAATGCCCTTCCATCGTCTTAGATTAAAATAATTGTGGATTTTGACCTGGAACGCATTTTGGAATATATTTTGGGGGATGTGCATGATGGGCTTTGCTCCACTCTCTCCCTCAGGAAGTTTAACTAATTTGTAGCTTTTGACTCAGAAATATATATTATTAATATACTGTAGACTATGAAATGTATCTAATGGGCGCAAGTGACCTATGACTTGTCTTATGTAATATATGTAATATGACTTTTTTTTATATATACCGGTTTTGTATGAGAAAGCATTTGTATGAATATTGATTTTTTATGCAAGACAACTTTTTCTGTATGATGATTCATATTTGTATGATGTCATCTCTTAAATGTGCACTACATATATATCAAGTCATACTTCTTGTGATGTAAAGGAATATTTGTTGCGCAGCACTGAATGACTGCTCCAGCTTCAGCCCCTTTTATGTATATATATTTTTTAAATATATATATATATATATATATATTATATATATATATTTATTATATATATATATATTTTTAAATATATATATATATATATATAAATTTTTTAAATGTGTCCCGAATGGGCAAAATTTTGCGATTTTGGGTTTGAATAGCAACGTTCTCTTCCCGTTGGACAAGTGAAAATTTGTGATGCAATAAATTTTGCCAAAATCATTCGAACCCAACGAAAAAAAATTTTTCACTGTGTTTTTATTATTAATTATTGTAAAAAAATCTAAAATTATTTAGTTGGGTTAGGGTAAAATAAATGTTTTTGTTTTAAATAAGGTTGGTAAGTTTTCTAAGATACTTTTGGTTTCAAAATAAAATTTTTACATTAACATTAAGAAAAAAGTATCTTTAAACTAACGTATAAAAGAAAATTTTAAAGGGGGAAAAGGGTTAGTTTTTTTAAAAGAGTTCTTGCTATTTACCAGTTTTACGATCGGGACGCCAAAAAAAAAAATTTATAATTATAATTTTTTATATATAAATTTAATAAAAAAATATATATTTTGTGTGTGTGGGTGGGGGTGTGTATTGTGTGTGGGGTTGTGTGTACTCCCTTTTGACCACCTATTTTGTTCGGGTCAGAGCTCCTGGCCCGCCTCTTTACCCGGGTTTCTACTAGCCCCTCTCTCCCCCTCCATGAGCTTTTAACCTCGTCAAAACTGTGTATGGTTCCTCCTCCACTACGTTTTTCTAGGGTATTTCCACTGCCCTTTCAACTCTATGCTGAAGAAAACTTCCTAAATCTCCTGACTATTTTTGTCTTTTAATCCCAAATTTTGGGCCCCTTTTTCTGTTTCCCCTCCTGGAACATCCTGTCCTTGTCCACCTTGCTATTCCACGCATATTTTTAAGCGTTTTATGTCTCCCCCTGCCCCCCCTGTTCCTCATGTGTTTAGGCCGATTTCCCTTAATCTTTTTCATAGGACATTCCCCTTTGCTCTGGAACTAACCTTGTTGCAAACCTTTGTACTTTCTCTAGTTTCTTGACGTGCTTTATCAAGTGCGGGTTCCAAACAGGTGCTGCATACTGTGTGTGTGTGTGTGTGTGTGTGTGTGTGTGTGTGTGTGTGTGTGTGTGTGTGTGTGTTTGTGTGTGTACTCACCTATTTGTACTCACCTATTTGTGGTTGCAGGGGTCGATTCACAGCTCCTGGCCCCGCCTCTTCGCTGATTGCTACTAGGTCCTCTCTCTCCCTGCCCCATGAGCTCTATCATACCTCGCCTTAAAACTGTATGGTTCCTGCCTCCACTACATCACTTTCTAGGCTATTCCATGGCCTGACTACTCTATGACTGAAGAAATACTTCCTAACATCCCTTTGATTCATCTGAGTCTTCAGCTTCCAATTGTGACCTCTTGTGTCTGTGTCCCATCTCTGGAACATCCCGTCTTTGTCCACCTCGTCTATTCCGCGCAGTATTTTATATGTCGTTATCATGTCTCCCCTGACCCTCCTGTCCTCCAGTGTCATCAGGCCGATTTCCCTCAACCTTTCTTCATAGGACAATCCCCGTAGCTCTGGGACTAGTCTTGTTGCAAACCTTTGCACTTTCTCTAATTTCTTGACGTGCTTGACTAGGTGTGGATTCCAAACTGGTGCTGCATACTCCAGTATGGGCTTGACGTAGATGGTATACATAGTCTTAAACGAATCCTTACTGAGGTATCGGAACGCTATCCGTAGGTTTGCCAGGCGCCCGTATGCTGCAGCAGTTATCTGATTGATGTGCGCCTCAGGAGATATGCTCGGTGTTATACTCACCCCCAGATCTTTTTCCTTGAGTGAGGTTTGCAGTCTTTGGCCATCTAAATTATATTGTGTCTGCGGTCTTCTTTGCCCTTCCCCAATCTTTATGACTTTGCATTTGGCAGGGTTAAATTCAAGGAGCCAGTTGCTGGACCAGGCTTGTAGCCTGTCCAGGTCTCTTTGTAGTCCTGCCTGATCCTCGTCCGATTTGATTCTTCTCGTTAACTTCAGCACCGTGTCTTCCTTTGCAGATGACACCCGAATCTGCATGACAGTGTCTTCCATTGCAGACACTGCAAGGCTCCAGGCGGACATCAACCAAATCTTTCAGTGGGCTGCAGAAAACAATATGAAGTTCAACGATGAGAAATTTCAATTACTCAGATATGGTAAACATGAGGAAATTAAATCTTCATCAGAGTACAAAACAAATTCTGGCCACAAAATAGAGCGAAACACCAACGTCAAAGACCTGGGAGTGATTATGTCGGAGGATCTCACCTTCAAGGACCATAACATTGTATCAATCACATCTGCTAGAAAAATGACAGGATGGATAATGAGAACCTTCAAAACTAGGGAGGCCAAGCCCATGATGACACTCTTCAGGTCACTTGTTCTATCTAGGCTGGAATATTGCTGCACTCTAACAGCACCTTTCAAGGCAGGTGAAATTGCCGACCTAGAAAATGTACAGAGAACTTTCACGGCGCGCATAACGGAGATAAAAACACCTCAATTACTGGGAGCGCTTGAGGTTTCTAAACCTGTATTCCCTGGAACGCAGGAGGGAGAGATACATGATTATATACACCTGGAAAATCCTAGAGGGACTAGTACCGAACTTGCACACGAAAATCACTCACTACGAAAGCAAAAGACTTGGCAGACGATGCACCATCCCCCCAATGAAAAGCAGGGGTGTCACTAGCACGTTAAGAGACCATACAATAAGTGTCAGGGGCCCGAGACTGTTCAACTGCCTCCCAGCACACATAAGGGGGATTACCAACAGACCCCTGGCAGTCTTCAAGCTGGCACTGGACAAGCACCTAAAGTCAGTTCCTGATCAGCCGGGCTGTGGCTCGTACGTTGGTTTGCGTGCAGCCAGCAGCAACAGCCTGGTTGATCAGGCGCTGATCCACCAGGAGGCCTGGTCACAGACCGGGCCGCGGGGGCGTTGACCCCCGAAACTCTCTCCAGGTAAACTCCAGGTAAAACACATCATCTGCAAACAAGGACACTTCTGAGTCTATCCCTTCCGTTATGTCGTTCACATATACCAAGAACAGCACAGGTTCTAGGACTGACCCCTGTGGAACCCCGCTTGTCACAGGCGCCCACTCTGACACCTCGTCGCGTACCATGACTCGTTGTTGCCTCCCTGTCAGATATTCTCTGATCCATTGCAGTGCCTTTCCTGTTATGTGTGCCTGGTCCTCTAGCTTTTGCAGTAACCTCTTGTGAGGAACTGTGTCGAAGGCCTTCTTGCAGTCCAAAAATATGCAGTCGATCCACCCCTCTCTCTCTTGTCTTACTTCTGTCACCTTGTCATAAAACTCTAGTAGGTTTGTGACACAGGATTTTCCTTCCCTGAAACCGTGCTGGTTGTCAATTATACACTTGTTTCTTTCCAGGTGCCCCACCACTCTCCTCCTGATGATCTTCTCCATGACCTTGCATACTATACACGTTAGTGATACAGGTCTGTAGTTTAGTGCCTCATGTCTGTCTCCCTTTTTAAAAATTGGGACTACATTTGCCATTTTCCATACCTCAGGGAGTTGCCCAGTTTCAAATGATGTGTTGAAGATCTTTGTTAATGGGTCACACAATATTTCTGCTCCCTCTTTAAGGACCCATGGAGAGATGTTGTCTGGTCCCACCGCCTTTGAGGTGTCAAGTTCGCATAGCAGCTTCTTCACCTCCTCTTTGGTTATATGTACCTCATACAGCACTTGCTGGTGTGCCCCCCTGTTCTGATTTCTTGGAGTCCTACTGGTTTCCACTGTAATTATTTTATTATTATCACACCGGCCGATTCCCACCAAGGCAGGGTGGCCCGAAAAAGAAAAACTTTCACCATCATTCACTCCATCACTGTCTTGCCAGAAGGGTGCTTTACACTACAGTTTTTAAACTGCAACATTAACACCCCTCCTTCAGAGTGCAGGCACTGTACTTCCACTGTAAATACCTCTTTAAATCTTGTGTTGAGCTCCTGACAAACCTCTCGATCGTTTCTTGTGAATTCCCCATCACCCTTCCTCAGTCTGATTACCTGGTCCTTGACTGTTGTTTTCCTCCTGATGTGGCTGTACAACAGCTTCGGGTCAGTCTTTACTTTTGATGCTATGTCATTTTCATATTGTTTCTGAGCCTCCCTTCTTATCTGTGCATATTCGTTTCTGGCTCTTCGGCTGATTTCTTTATTTTCCTGAGTTCTCTGTCTTCTGTACCTTTTCCATTCTCTAGTACACCTAGTTTTTGCCTCCCTACACCTTTGGGTGAACCAAGGACTCGTTCTGTTCTTCCCATTATTTCTGTTTCCCTTGGGAACAAACCTCGCCTCTGCCTCCTTGCATTTTGTTGCTACATAGTCCATCATTTCTTGTACTGGTTTTCCTGTCAGTTCCCTCTCCCACTGAATGTCTTGAAGGAAGTTCCTCATGCCTGAGTAGTTCCCCCTTTTGTAGTTTGGTTTTTCCCAGCCCTATTCCTGCTACTCTCTCCACTTGGAGCTCAACTATGTAGTTGAAGCACAGAACCACATGATCACTAGCTCCCAGGGGCCTTTCATACATGATACCCTCGATGTCCGAACTACTCATGGTGAATACAAGGTCCAACCTTGCTGGTTCATCCTCTCCTCTCTCTCTGGTAGTGTCTCTAACATGTTGATGCATGACGTTTTCCAGTACACATCCATCATCTTGGCTCTCCATGTTTCGGGACCCCCCATGGGCTCCAGGTTTTCCCAGTCAATCTCCTTGTGATTGAAATCACCCATAACTAGTAACTTTGCTCCCCCCATGTGTTGCTCTCCTGGCCACCTCGGCTAGTGGGGTCGATCATTGCTCTGTTGCTCTCATCGTATTCTTCTCTTGGCCTCCTGCAGTTCTGTGGTGGGTTGTACATTACTGCAATTATCACCTTATGTCCCTCAGACTGGATTGTTCCTACTAAGTAGTCCCTTTCGGGCCCCTGCCATCCATTCCTTCCATTTTCTCAAAATCCTACTGGTTTTTAATGAGCAGTGCAACTCCTCCTCCCCTCTCCTCCCTCTGTCTTTCCTGAGGATTTGATATCCGGATGGAAAGATTGAATCTGTTATTATTCTGGTGATTTTGTTTCTGTGAGTGCTATTATGTCTGGGGATGTCTCTTTGTTTCTTTCGTGCCACTCCTCATACTTGTTTGTTATTCCATCTGCATTTGTATACCACACCTTCAACTTCTTTTCTAAGACTGTGGTCTGGGAGGTATATTGGGGTTGGGGAAGTGGGAGACCTGGTAAGGAACTATGGGTTGTTGCTGTGGGGGTGGAGTTTGTAATGTAGTGGGTGGGGGCATTGGATGTGGCATGGGTGTTTTGATTTAGAGTGTTTGGTTGCACTGGGGTTGACCTGGTTGGGAGGCTTCTATAGGAAGTTGTGAGGGAGGCTGTATTTGATCTTCTTCCTGGGTCTGGGATCTCCTGTCTGTCTTCTCCATCCCTTCTCTTTCCTCCTTTCGCCTTTGTATCATCTCTCTTAGTTTCTGCCTTTCTTCTTGTGTGCTGTCGCGGTCGAGATACACCATCATGTCCCTTAATCGTGCTTTCTCCTGCAGGATCCTGGTCCGAGTCGCTTCTGCCTTGAAGGTCACTCTCACTTGCCGGGTTCTTTTTTTTACAAACCCCCCTATTCTCCGAAAATTTTCCAGCTGGGTCATATCGTCTTCTCCTATTGCTTTTATGATGCTTTCAATTGCTTTTTTTCCCCTTGTTTTCTTGCTTCATATGTTTCCCCTTCGACTTCCTGGAGCCCATACACAAAGACTGACCTCACCCTTTCATTCTCCCACTGCATATCCCTGTGTATCCCCTCATTTAATTTGGTTTCCTCCACCTGGGAGTGATCATGTCGGAGGATCTCACCTTCAAGGACCATAACATTGTATCAATCGCATCTGCTAGAAAAATGACAGGATGGATAATGAGAACCTTCAAAACTAGGGAGGCCAAGCCCATGATGACACTCTTCAGGTCACTTGTTCTATCTAGGCTGGAATATTGTTGCACACTAACAGCACCTTTCAAGGCAGGTGAAATTGCCGACCTAGAAAATGTACAGAGAACTTTCACGGCGCGCATAACGGAGATAAAACACCTCAATTACTGGGAGCGCTTGAGGTTCCTAAACCTGTATTCCCTGGAACGCAGGAGGGAGAGATACATGATTATATACACCTGGAAAATCCTAGAGGGACTAGTACCGAAGTTGCACAAAATTTGATTAACACAAGCCTATCCGATGTTATCCTGACGCCAAATGACTTCGAACAGGCGATAAATGACATGCCCATGCACTCTGCCCCAGGGCCAGACTCATGGAACTCTGTGTTCATCAAGAACTGCAAGAAGCCCCTATCACGAGCCTTTTCCATCCTATGGAGAGGGAGCATGGACACGGGGGTCGTCCCTCAGTTACTAAAAACAACAGACATAGCCCCACTCCACAAAGGGGGCAGTAAAGCAACAGCAAAGAACTACAGACCAATAGCACTAACATCCCATATCATAAAAATCTTTGAAAGGGTCCTAAGAAGCAAGATCACCACCCATCTAGAAACCCATCAGTTACACAACCCAGGGCAACATGGGTTTAAAGAACAGGTCGCTCTGTCTGTCTCAACTACTGGATCACTACGACAAGGTCCTAAATGCACTAGAAGACAAAAAGAATGCAGATGTAATATATACAGACTTTGCAAAAGCCTTCGACAAGTGTGACCATGGCGTATTAGCGCACAAAATGCGCGCTAAAGGAATAACAGGAAAAGTCGGTCGATGGATCTATAATTTCCTCACTAACAGAACACAGAGAGTAGTCGTCAACAGAGTAAAGTCCGAGGCAGCTACGGTGAAAAGCTCTGTTCCACAAGGCACAGTACTAGCTCCCATCTTGTTCCTCATCCTCATATCCGACATAGACAAGGATGTCAGCCACAGCACCGTGTCTTCCTTTGCAGATGACACCCGAATCTGCATGACAGTGTCTTCCATTGCAGACACTGCAAGGCTCCAGGCGGACATCAACCAAATCTTTCAGTGGGGCTGCAGAAAACAATATGAAGTTCAACGATGAGAAATTTCAATTACTCAGATATGGTAAACATGAGGAAATTAAATCTTCATCAGAGTACAAAACAAATTCTGGCCACAAAATAGAGCGAAACACCAACGTCAAAGACCTGGGAGTGATTATGCGGAGGATCTCACCTTCAAGGACCATAACATTGTATCAATCGCATCTGCTAGAAAATGACAGGATGGATAATGAGAACCTTCAAAACTAGGGAGGCAAAGCCCATGATGACACTCTTCAGGTCACTTGTTCTATCTAGGCTGGAATATTGCTGCACTCTAACAGCACCTTTCAAGGCAGGTGAAATTGCCGACCTAGAAAATGTACAGAGAACTTTCACGGCGTGCATAACGGAGATAAAACACCTCAATTACTGGGAGAGCGCTTGAGGTTTCTAAACCTGTATTCCCTGGAACGCAGGAGGGAGAGATACATGATTATATACACCTGGAAAATCCTAGAGGGACTAGTACCGAACTTGCACACGAAAATCACTCACTACGAAAGCAAAAGACTTGGCAGACGATGCACCATCCCCCCAATGAAAAAGCAGGGTTGTCACTAGCACGTTAAGAGACCATACAATAAGTGTCAGGGGCCCGAGACTGTTCAAATGCCTCCCAGCACACATAAGGGGGATTACCAACAGACCCCTGGCAGTCTTCAAGCTGGCACTGGACAAGCACCTAAAGTCAGTTCCTGATCAGCTGGGCTGTGGCTCGTACGTTGGTTTGCGTGCAGCCAGCAGCAACAGCCTGGTTGATCAGGCGCTGATCCACCAGGAGGCCTGGTCACAGACCGGGCCGCGGGGGCATTGACCCCCGAAACTCTCTCCAGGTAAACTCCAGGTAAACTACGAAAGCAAAAGACTTGGCAGACGATGCACCATCCCCCCAATGAAAAGCAGGGGTGTCACTAGCACGTTAAGAGACCATACAATAAGTGTCAGGGGCCCGAGATTGTTCAACTGCCTCCCAGCACACATAAGGGGGATTACCAACAGACCCCTGGCAGTCTTCAAGCTGGCACTGGACAAGTCAGTTCCTGATCAGCCGGGCTGTGGCTCGTACGTTGGTTTGCGTGCAGCCAGCAGCAACAGCCTGGTTGATCAGGCTCTGATCCACCAGGAGGCCTGGTCACAGACCGGGCCGCGGGGGCGTTGACCCCCGGAACTCTCTCCAGGTAAACTCCAGGTAAACTGCAGCTTTCTTTTCATCAGTTTCACTGGCTAATGTACTTGGGCTCAGTGGCCTGTCATTTTCCCTTCTCGGCTTTCCTTGGGCTCTGTTGTTGTCTGTTAGGGCCTCCACATAAAGCTTAGCTCTTTCATTTGCTACAGTCTCCTCTGATAGAGCTTCTCCATGCAGTTGTGCCCCTTCTTTCCCTACAGTCCCCTTATTTGTGGCTGAGGTAGCAGTCTCTGTTGTCAATCCCAAAATGTTCTTTAGTTCTTTAGGCTGTTTCAGATTTTTCAATTCCTCTTCTAAACTCTGTATCCTAGCTTCTGCTGCTTTGACATGCACCTCCCACTTCCTGCTTTCCATATCTATCCTCTCTTCCATTCTCATGCTAAGTTCTTCTAGTTTCTTTTCCCATTCATGATCCCTTTTTATGAGCTCTGCTGCCCAATCTTCCTTTGCAGTTTCCTCCTCCTGTCCCTTGGTTTTTCTTGTTGCTCTCTGGCAACCCATTTTTGTTTTATCCTGATTGCCTCAGAGTGGGAAACCTATGTAGTTCTGTATGTTAGGTTAGTAGTGTGTATGTCAGAGTGTGGGGGGGGGAAGTAGTGGAGGAACTGTGGCTATGTGGGAGCGGAGTGGGGAGGGGTGGGGAGGGTTTAGGGTGAACGGGGGAGGGGAGGGTGATCGAGGGAGGGGAGGGATCAGGGGAAGTAGTGAGATGTCGGTGGTGAGGGGGGAGTGTATGTGTGTCTGGATATGTGGTGTGTTGTGTGTGTGGTGTGTGTGTGTGTGTGTGTGTGTGTGTTGTTGTGTGTGTGTGTGTGTGTGTGTGTGTGTAATTTTGTGTGTAATTTTGTGTGGAATTATGTGTGGGTTTATTATGTACTGAAAGGTAGGTGGCTTGTGCGTTGTAATGTAAGTCTCAGTGGTCCTTGGCTGCCCACACCTTCTTGTGACCTGACCCCCAACCTCCTGGGACTTACCAGCACTTACTTACAGTGTGTGTGTGTGTGTGTGTGTGTGTGTGTGTGTGTGTGTGTGTGTGTGTGTGTGTGTGTGTATGTGTGTATGTGTGTGTGTATGTATGTGTGTGTGTGTGTGTGTGTGTATGTGTGTGTGTGTGTGTGTGTGTGTGTGTGTGTGTGTACTCACCTAATTGTACTCACCTAATTGTGGTTGCAGGGGTCGAGACTCAGCTCCTGGCCCCGCCTCTTCACTGATCGCTACTGGATCCTCTCTCTCTCTGCTTCCTGACCTTTGTCATACCTCTTCTTAAAACTATGTATGGTTCCTGCCTCCACTACTTCACTTGCTAGGCTATTCCACTTGCTGACAACTCTATGACTGAAGAAATACTTCCTAACGTCCCTGTGACTCGTCTGAGTCTTCAGCTTCCAGTTGTGACCCCTTGTCCCTGTGTCCCCTCTCTGGAACATCCTATCTCTGTCCACCTTGTCTATTCCTGCAGTATCTTGTATGTCGTTATCATGTCTCCCCTGACCCTTCTGTCCTCCAGTGTCGTCAGTCCGATTTCCCTTAACCTTTCCTCGTACGACATTCCCTTGAGCTCTGGGACTAGCCTTGTTGCAAACCTTTGTACTTTCTCTAACTTCTTGACGTGCTTGACCAGGTGTGGGTTCCAGACTGGTGCTGCATACTCCAGTATGGGCCTAACATACACAGTGTACAGTGTCTTGAACGATTCCTTATTAAGGTATCGGAACGCTATTCTCAGGTTTGCCAGGCACCCGTATGCTGCAGCAGTTATTTGGTTGATGTGTGCCTCCGGTGATGTGCTCGGTGTTATGGTCACCCCAAGGTCTTTCTCCCTGAGTGAGGTCTGTAGTCTTTGTCCACCTAGCCTATACTCTGTCTGCGGTCTTCTTTGCCCCTCCCCAATCTTCATGACTTTGCATTTGGCTGGATTGAATTCGAGAAGCCAGTTGCTGGACCACATGTCCAGCCTGTGTGTGTGTGTGTGTGTGTTTGTGTGTGTGTGTGTGTGTGTTTGTGTATGTGTGGTGTGTGTGTGTGTGTGTGTGTGTGTGTGTGTGTGTGTGTGTGTGTGTGTGTGTGTGTGTGTGTGTGTGTGTGTGCATGTGTGTGTGTGTGTGTAATTATGTGTCGAATTATGTGTGGGTTTATTATGTGTCTGAAAAGTAGGTGGCTTGTGCTTGGAGTGTAATGTAGATTCTCAGTTGTCACTTGTGTCCACAACCTCTTGTGACCTGACTCCCACCCTTACAGTGTTGCCTATGCTCGACCTGCTTATAGTGAGTTAATCCTTGTTCAATGGATTACCATTTGCTAAACCTTATTGAATACTTGAGTGCCTATTCTTTATCGTGCTATGAGAGTTAGACCATTCACATTCAGCTTGGCGGTTAATTGGAACCTGGAACCCCACACCCAAACAACCACTCATAGGTGATACAGTACTTGTAGTGCAGCTGTAGCACTGTAGATTGTCCAGGTCGATGTGACGTCCTGGCGTAGATCCAGCTCGATGTACGTCCTGGCGTAGATCCACCTCAATTTCTTCTCGTTAATAATTACCCTATTCACTGTATTTCTTTCACTGGTCACACGATTGTTTCACTTTATTATCTTTCTTGGGTGACACTTGACAACGTCGCCTTACACACTAGCCTGCCCACTCTGCGCCACAACGTTTTTATTTTCTAGATCACTTACAAAATTGTGGCTCTCCCCACACTTATGTGACTCAGGCAGATTAGAAATCACTTCTAGGATTGTTCACTACCCTGACACACTTAGCAACCCTTGCAGAACACTTGGGTAGCCCTCAAAAACACTTATATTCCCGGAGCACGGAAGGCGTGACTAGCGCGCTCGCTGTCCCTACTGTGTGTGTAAAACTTACGATTCTGTGTGTGTGTGTGTGTGTGTGGTGCCGAATAGGTAAAATTGGTCAATTAGCAAGAACTCATTTAAAATTAAGGTCTTTCTAAAATTTTCTCTTATACGTTTAAAGATATATATATTTTAATTTATATTAATGTAAATATATTAATAATTTTGTACCAAAACCTTATAAAGCTTACCTAAACTTATTATAACAAGCGCAATTTAATTTAACCTAATCCAGCAAAATATATTTTAGATAAGTTTACAATAATTTAATAAACAAACACAATGAAATATAGTTTTTTCGTTAGGTTCAGAATGATTTTTGCGAAATTATTGCATACACTAATTTTCGCTTGCCTTTTTCAGCAAGAGCGTTGCTATTTAAGCCAAAATCGTAAGTTTTACCTATTCGGCACGACATATATACTATATAAACATACACATAGCACAGTTCACTGAATATATTTAATTTCATGCATTGTATAAATATATAAAAACCATATAAGACAAACTGAATAAAGATTATTATAATTATATTTTTTGTTTATTGAGCAGTTAGTAAGTAAGTAAGTAAGTAAGTTTATTCAGGTATACACAAATACAGTTACATAGAATTATCATACATAGCAGCATATGTGTAGAGAACCTAGGATAACCCAAAAAAGTCAGACAGAGTGACTTATTTCCATTGGGGTCCTTCGAATGTTTGCGAAGAGAAACTGAACCACTGTAATATTATATATTCTTACAAGGCTGATTTATTGATACTCAAGATGGAAGTGACAAGTGCTGGGATGTGGTCACTAAAGCAACCTTCAGGGAGTAGAAACTCTAGAAGCTTCACCCAGGCTCTAGGAAATTAGTCATATGTATTCAGGATTTTATTACTCTTACGTAAAATAGGTTTCAAGTTCTAGGTAGTAATTTTGAGTCGTTGATAGTTTCATAAATGTCATAATGGGAATGCACTTACTACTGACTGTAATAAATCTCTTAGTGTTATAGGTTAAATATATGACTAAGAATAATATCCTTCCATACTTGGGTTCAACATTCAGGTAAGAATGACGTGTCTTCATTATTTAGTCATAACAAGGTTAATGTAACGGGGTGGATGAGCCTCCCACTCTGACAACCTCTCTTAGTGCGATGGATGAACCTCCCACGCTGACATCTTATAATATGTGATGGATGCACCTACCACACTGACAGCCTCTTTTAGTGTGGTGGATGTACCTACCACACACTGACAGCCTCTTGTAATGTGATGGATGAACTTACCACAATGTCCATGAATATGATGATGATGATGAGTGATGATTGATGATGATGAATCCAAAGTTGAATTGTTGGTGCACTTCTCTGAAGACATGTAGACAGTGGTCACCTTGTCTTGGTAGAAAACTGAACATGTTTTATAAATATTTACAGTTAGATATGCTACAAGTTTAGTTATTCTCTTATGATTATTATCACATTCGTGCAAAGATCTAAAACCATGAGCGTCATTCGTCGCTGCTATATGTTACGAGGTAAATTTGTCTCCGTTTTTATATTAAGACCCTCAATGGTGGTTGCACACGTTTGTTATATTTCCTGTTAGTGGGGAAATTTGACCTTCCCGTAGTCGCATTATTTATTATTCTTGTTGGGGAGAGGATATCTCAACTTGCGAAGGTTCGATGTTCCCATTATTAATAGTTTTGAGAGTTAAAAACATCTCTAGCTTCAGTGCTTTCACCTGCAGCAGTGTTGCATAGGTTATTCTTCAGTGCACCTTAACAAAGTTACTAACTCTCTATGTTGGGCTGAATTAAGAATTTTATAACTACTAGGTAGTCTTATGACCCTATTCTCAAGCGACCAGATTGACAATCTTGGAGGGTGGCCAGTGTGGAAAATATTTTAATTTTCCGAAGCTATAGCGCCTAATAGATGTTTAATGTGTCGATATGAGTAAAAAATGTATTTGACAATAGAATAGAACCAAGAGTTCCCTTTGCGCATGCGCGGATGTGCGGGGGTAGAGGTCGACTCGGGGCATGGGAGAGGGGGCAGTATTTTGAATGTAGTGAGGAGGCTGGGAAAGCATGGAACCAGGAAATTGGCGTTCACGGCAGCCTAAGGATTAATATAGGCCTCATTTCATAATAGGAAGTGTCGTGACTGTCCCTGGTGAAGAGTGAGGGAACGTGATTGACGGCACCGCTGTAAATAAGGTGGTAAAATGAGTGAATAATGGTAGGACCGGGAGTGACTGGCGCGTCGCCATGGACTGTGTCCCGGGGAAAGTTACCCATGATTTAATCATCACTCATCGGTCTCAAATCTTAATGGAGTGGCCTCCAATGTGTATAATAATTATGAGACATTAAACCGTCTTGTAAATCGTAATGTAATCAGTGATAATAACACTAAGTGAAGGAATCGTTGAAGCGATATGAACTGCCATTCCCAGAGTGTGTGAGCACATGTTTACCTCGTTGTTCCTGTCCCGAGGATAGTGAAGGCTTTATGGAGTCACGACTTCTAAACCGGGACAAACCGATGGATACCTCGTCCTGCTGGAATAAGAACCGTGTCGGTGTAGCAGGACATCGAAATGAGATGGTGAATGGAGGAAATAAGGAGTATCAATTACCCACAGTTAAGTAACCCTTCTAGTTATAGCAGACTGATACTGGCCAGTTAGGTATGTTGTAATTGGATAGGTTATGGGTGATCCAGCTACATCAAGTGACCACCAGAGAATATCTGGTAAGTGGAGAGATTATGTACAAGTGTTTTTCCTTAAGATAAGATAAGATAAGA